TGAACATCCATAATATAATATATTTATAACAGAGAGCTATTTTTAGTGGGCGTTTGGACAAAAGAATTATAAAATTCCAAAAAAAAAATAAAAAAGAATTTCTAAGTGAAAATAATATTTGAAAATTAGAGTTTTGTTTGAATATGAATATAATTTTGGGTTGTTTTTAAAAAAAATTCTGTAATTTTAGTGAAAATTTTGAAAAATAACTTTTTGGAGTTTTTAAAATTTTTAAAAAATTTCAAAATACGTCTTCAAATAAAAAATTAAAAATTTTATAAACAAATGCACGTTGATTTCGATAAAAATAAAAAAATTCAAAAAAAGTAAAAAATTTCTTATGTCCAAACGGCCTGTTAGTGATGATTCCCAGCTTGCCGAAAAGCTGGTGATTGGACTTGTTATTGTGGAATGTGGACTTTCCTTGCGTCTATGAACTGCTATCATTTGTTACTTTGCTTAGTAAAATCAGAGAATGATTTATGTTCATGAAGTTATCCAGATAAGCGACAAGCGAATAAGATTTAACATATTGGGACGGAGAAATATATTGTTTTTTTCATTTAATTTACTTACCAAAATTTTGTATTTTGTTTTAAACTGTTTTCAATCAAACATGAGCCTTTAAAATCACGACTTAATTACTATTTTCACCGCATGAGAAGTAAATCTAACTCCTTAGCTCTATGATTTTGTCTCCATGCAATGGGGTCAAAGTGAGTCTAAGAAATTATGCCATATAGAGTGATCATATATAACACCAAAAAGAAAACAAAACAAAAGAAAAAAAATATAGGGTGTGTTTGGTAAGAGGAAAAAAATATTTTTCGAAAACTATTTTCTAATTTTCCCATGTTTGGTTGGCTTAGATGTTTTGGAAAATATTTTTCTTATGAACTCATTTTCCTCTAATTAAAGGAAAATATTTTCCTTATCAGGAGAAGGAAAANTCCCACCCCACCCCCTCTCTCCAAAACAGTTTATTTTTTTAAATTTCAGTTTTTTTCGTCACCACCCATCCTGCTATCCCCAGCAAAAAAATTATTTTTTTACTTTTTTTTTTGTAATTTTAAATTTCTGTTTCTTTATTTTTCTTCACCCCCACCCCACCTCACTGCCCCTCCTCCCGGGGGGGGGGGGGAATATTTTTTTTAAAATATATTTTCACCTTTTTTTTTTCAACTTTCGGTTTAGAGGTTCGAAATTTTACAAGTTATAAAGTTATGAATTCGGAGGTTTATGTGTTTGGAAGTTTACGGGTTTAGAAATTATACAGTTTACGGATTCGAAAATTCGCGGTTTCGAAAGTTTAGCAGTTTAAAAGTTTATGAAATTTGTGGGTTCGAAAGGTTGTTGGTTCGAAAGTTTATGGCTTCATGTTTATTGTATCTAAATTATTTATTAATACTTTTGAGAAGTTATTTTCCTTAATTTGCATATCAAACAATGAAAAATGAATAAAATTACTATTTGTTTTTCATGAAAATATTTTCTTGTATTTTCCGTTATACCAAACACACCCATATACTTATATTTTTTTAACTTTATAATAAGTGAAAGTATTAGGTACGACAAAATGATAGTTTCGTAATAAAGTTATTTTTATAGGCATTTTGGTACGTTTTATTTCTCCATTCCCGGCAACGTGTATTTACAACAGTTGGCTTGGAACTTGGAAGGAACAATGCAGAGAACTGGCTTTCATACCCATTTTTTTTTCCTGTACACTGTTTTCCTTCATTGTTCCTTCTTTCTCCTTCTCTTTCTCTATTGCATCTCTCTATTTTTCTTTTTTCTGAATCTATCATGTCGTCAGCTTCTTCCTTAGAGGTAATCTTTTAAAGTATGAGCCTTTTATTTTGGTCAGTTTTTTCTGCAATATTTCCTTGATTATTTCACTTTCTTTGTTGGTAATCACCATTTGTGCTTTTGGGTTGTTTCTTATTCGATTTTCTATATGTATGTCACTAATTTCTCTGTTTTGCTCGTGCATGTTGGGAAATTTATACCCAGGTGCAAGTTTGTGAGAAGTACTACAAGTGATCTATTCTTGGGATAGACATCTAAAGCTGCTAAAATAGATGAAGCTTTCGTTTGACCTAAATTTCTCTCTCTGAAAATAAAAACTCCCCTTTTTCACTCCCTTTTTGTCTTTTTATTTCGTGACAATTTTTCATCGCTTTTATCCTCCTAGTTTACTCTCTGATTGATTTCCCCCCTTTTGAGCAGTACTCATAAACGCTATGTTTATACGCATACGAAATATGCCTATAGGTATTGAGTGTCCATTTTCTTGATGATAGTACTTTAATCAAGCATACCCTATAGTTGAAGCTGATCCAATTTCTTAGATTCAGTGGTATCTGCTTAGTTTTTTTACAGTAATAAAAGTCATCCGGTAATTGTTGTGCATTATTATGTTCTATTTGATTCTATTAACATAATATAATAGGAGTAGCAAGTATACTCATCTCCAGTTTCCGCCTTGGTTTCTGGAGGATTCAACAAAATTGAGTTGTTTGGTGGGATGGGAAGAAAAAAAGTATAGTGTGAATAAACATTTCTACTTTCAAATAATTTAGAGGATTATTTTTCCTAAGAGACATTTGTCACGACCCAAGTTCTTTCCTCCGTGAACTATCGTGACGGTACCTAGTTTTTACGACTAGGTAAGCCTAATTAATTGCAAAAATAAAACAAAGATACGAAAACTAACAATTTAACAGATAAATATAATAAAGAAGTTTAAAATGCCACTCGGCATATACAATAAAACACTCTCGAATTGAACATAAGCATTCCCAAAACCCGGAATCTCATGAATCACAAGCTAAAGAAGTACATAGTATTTCTAAGCTCCAGAAATCTATCAACAAAGAAAATACAGGAAAATCCATAACTTGAGGGAGAAGAGAGGGACTTCTAGGTCTGCGGATGCGGAAGATATACCTCGAAGTCTTTAACATCGCCTTGCCTCACTGGAAGTATGGCTGAGAAGAGGTACCTGAATCTGCACACGAAAAACATGTGCAGGAAAGGGCATGAGTACACCACAGCGGTACCCAATAAGTGCCAAGCCTAACCTCGGTCGAATAATGACAAGATCAGGTCAGGGCCCTGCTGGTTTTAATATAATAAAATTTAACAGAAAGAAATATCGTAGTAAAGAAGTAAATACTGAAGTTTTAACCAGGAAATAAGCACAGAAGAACAACAACTCAAAACACAGCAATAACAATAGGGGGATCTCCAGGGATACCGTTCTGTAGTCCCAACGTAAATATTTAGGGGGTTCTTCCAGAATACCGTTTCGTAGTCCCAAAGTAAATATGCAGTGCTGGGGGATCTCCCGAAATACCGATCCGCAGTCCCAAAGTAAATATGCACTACAGGGGGGTTTCCCCGAATACCGTTCTGTAGTCCCAAAGTAAATATGCAGCACAGTCAATACAAACAACATGTATATCAAGGAATTTGCAGTTTAAATTAAGTTTGCATTTAAGGAAAACAAGAAATTTCATTAGAACATGCTGCACAGAGGTCAAATAGACAATTTAACACGTAAACATGCTTTTCTAACCTAGTCAAGGTAATAACATATGTTGATGTAGTTCAACAAAGCAAAAAAAGTTAAGACTTAGTGGAAAACGGAGTTTTATAACAAATAGCCCGTGTACGCACTCGTCACCTCACGTGCACAGCTCTCGTATATCAAACAATACCAAAATTCTAAGGAGAGCTCCCACACACAAGGTTAGGCAAACCACTTACCTCGAACCAAGCTCAAATCAATCCGAAATCACGCTCTTGCCACGAGTATCCAACTCCGAGTGACCCACAGCTAATCAAATCAATTATATTACGTAAATATAACTACAAACAACTAATTTAACTAATGAAATCGAAGCTAAGGCAAGAAAATAGAAAAATCCCCCAAAATCCTCTCCGGGTCCATGTCTCGGAATCGGGTAAAAAATCACCAATTACGAACACTCATTCACTCACGAGCTCACTTGTACAAAAAATCATCCCAATCCGACGTCAAATTCCTATTCAAACCTCAGATTTTCAATTGGGGAACTTTTCCCCCTATTTTCAAACTTGCACCCTCAAATTCCTTAATTAGATGAGGAAAACAACAATAGATTAATGTATTAGGATCAAATTAGAGTTAGAATTCGTTACCCAATAGTTCTCCTTCAAAATCTCTCAAGAAATCGCCTCCCACCGAGCTCCAAATCAAATTTTGTGTTATGAAATTTCAAACCCTCGAAATCCTCTTTTCTGCCCAGCAGATTTTCATATCTGCGCTCATGGGGCTGCATTTGTGAAAAAATCATCGCAGGTGCAAAGTTCACTTATCCGGGCTGGGGTCACATCTGTGGTCCCGCTTCTGCGGTCCCCCAGCCGCATTTGCAGTTCCTGATACCCAAGCCAAATTCCGCATCTGCGGCTTCCTATTCGCTTCTGTGGTTCCGCACCTGCGGTCCCACATTCGCAGGTGTGATTATATCAGGTGCAACAAATCTTCAGCAATGCCTAAGTTCCAAACCAAATCCATTAAGCATCCAAAAGTCACCCGAGGCCCCCCGAGCCTCAACCAAACATACGAACCAATCCTAAAATATCATACGAACTTAGTCGAGCCCTCAAATTACATCAAACAACGCTAAAACTACGAATCACCCTCCAACCCAACCCAATGAACTTGAAATTCCAAAACTCTACAACAGATGCCGAAACCAATCAAACCATGTCTGATTGACCCCAAATTTTGCACACAAGTCATATTTACCACTACGGACCTATTCCAACTTTTAAAATTTGATTCCGACCCCGATATAATTTTTTTTACTATCGGCTCGAAACTCCAAAAATTCAACTTTCGCCATTTCAAGCCTAAATAAGCTACAGACCTCCAAAACACAATCCAAACATGCCCATAAGCCCGAAATCACCCAACGGAGCTAACAAAATCGACGGAATTCTATTCCGGAGCCATCTTTACACTGCTCCGACTACAGTCCAAATTCTAAGATTTAAACTCTCATTTAGGGACTAAGTGTCCCAAAACACTACAAAACTCAAAGTGAACCCTCCCGGCAAATTATATTAGCAGAAAAAGATACGAGGGAAGCAGTTAATACGGGATCGGGGCATAAATTCTCAAAACGGTCGGCCGGGTCGTTATATCATTACAAAATTATGGATTTACTTTATCTTACCTTCTCCAAAATAAAAAAATAAAAAAGAAGCAATAACTAAACAATCAGATAACATTATTGAATTGATACTGTAATAATTGGATTTTGAGAGACTCAATACAATGACTTTAATGCGTAAATAAAAGTTTACGAAAGTTTAAACTTTTGATGTAAAAGGACGCCCACAACTATGATAGTGAGTCGACTAGCTTCCAGCAGGTAGAAAATTAATCTTTTTTCTTTCTGTTTCCACCAATTTCTAAGTTGTCAATTTTAGGATGTGTCGGTTATGTTTTCCAGGTATTTAGTTCACAAGAGCAACATCTACACTCAATGTGATATCTGAAAACATTGACAAGAAGCTATATTATTTTGGCAGCCAGATATGTGCTATCAATTGTAACTTTCACTTTGCAATGGTTATAGATTTGTTGGTGAGGTAAAATAGTCTTTCTTATTGTTAGTTGTACTGCATTTTTTAAGCAATGAAAAGTTTTTTCCTATGATACTTCTTAAATTTGCAGCTACAAGATGTGCGAGTATCTTTTTTTGAGAAATCTGTTGAGCAGTAAGTAGTATCCCTTTACTGAGGATCCTTCATTGTGGAGCTTGTACAACTTCTTGATAGATGCTTCTTATTTTTAGCATGATAAATTTCAAATAATGTCCTTTATCATAGTAAGGAGTCTTCTATCTGAAGGTTTTCTGGTTGTTCCTTTTACCAATTAAAGAAATCTACCGAGGGTGAGTCCTCTGAGTTATATGCATTAACATTGTAATTGGAGTCAGCACTTTTTATTATTTGTAATATGAAATAGCACCTCCAAGAGAGGCATGTTTTCTAAGTTTACTGCTAAATCTTTTACATTACTCTATTCCTCTTAACAAATAATTTTGATGCTAATACTTAAACATACAGTACATAAAAGGTACCATCGTGCAGCTCATGAACTTAATGAAGTTATGTCTTCACAAGCAGAAGCTTTTTGGTTAACTATAAATAGTACCATTTGGTATATTTTTCAAGTACAGATTATTCAGTAGAGGAAGGAGAGCTCATATTTCTCAAGGATATATAGTGATCTTGAATGATAACAAAGAAATCATGTAAAATCCCCGGCTCTGCTGATTGTGAGATGGTAACTTCTCCTATTTTGTTCTTCTTTATCAATCATGTGATTTGTATTAATCATTTCGTTGTTCTTGAAGTTGGGATCGCTCTCAAATGGTTCTTTAACTTGCAAGAGTTGCTCCTCCTATGATGCAGCATAGCTAGGAGTTGAATTCTTCTTTCTATCTAAGGAAGAATACTCTTTGAGTCCCATAATTTTCTGCTTTGTTTTGACATGCATTTTTCTTTGCAAGTGAGGAATAATTGGCCAATATGATCTGCTTAATGTCCTGGGAAAACAAAAGAAGGAAGGTTTGTTTGCATGTAATTTTCTCTGTCACTCCACTATAACATTGATTGAGTATTTAGCTTGATTATTTTTTTTTACGTATGCGACTCATTTTTCTGCATTATGGTGTTTTCTCCTTAGATAATTAGTTTACCTGTGTTCATGGAGTTTCCCCTATTGTGTTTTGTATTATTTAGATAATAGCATAGGAAGCCAGTCAAAATCTATGCAGCCGGTGTGCTTGTGAACTACATTTCTCTTCCTCTGGTTAGAGCAGTAAGGTTTCGACTCTCTCTGATGATGACCTTTGTTATTGGAGTCACCGCAAAAGTAAAATGTTCCTTCTTTCTAGGAGCTTCCATATGATCGACTTATAAAAGAGTCTAGAGCGCCATAACAGTGCGTGAAAAAATCTTCTCATACATGAGCACATGTGTGCGATGAGTATTAGCTCTTACACTTGAATCATTGTGTTATGAGTAGAGAGATCATTGTTCTTTCAACTACCAGAAATGCACCGACTAACACATATTTTCAGGAATTTCTTTCTATTAATGTTCAAGGGGTAGGCAGTCACTAATACTTGCATTAGGATAGACTGTCTACATCACACCCCTTGGAGTGCAGCCTTTTGTCGGACCCTGCGTGAATGCGAGATTCTATGTGCACCAGGCTAGCCTTTTTTTTAAGGGGTAATGTATTTAGCCTTATGGATAGAAGTTCAATTGGAATCTTTTAGATGGTTTTTGTTGTCTTATAGGTTATTTGTGGCTACTTTTTCATTTTGCTTCCATTCTTCTCTTTCTTTTTTCTGTTTTGTATGATGGTTTTGTGTACTTTCACACCACATTAATTTATTCCATTAAAAAATAAATAAGACTTCAGTTGTCCCCATCCCCCTCCCCCTCCCTCGGATAGAAGCTTTCGATTTGATATACGTTAGTAAAGTTTATCCTCCTACATCTTTTTTGGTTCATAGTCGGTTTTTTATTTTACAGATTTCTCTCTATGTCCGTAATTGCTTCGTTTGTGTTTCTATTACTCTTATGTATGCAATTCACTCCCGACATTTAACTTGTGAAATATACTCAGCTATCCGAGGACCAATTTCCTCCAAATGCATTACTTCTCGAATCCCTACCCAGCTTAAGGCGTTGAAGGGCTGCCTACTTGACATTTACTGATTTTAGTTCTAATGCATGTTCCTATGCGCATGCATATATATAGTTGGATGTTCATATTACATATGAATACACGTGTCTTTGGATATTTTGTACATAGAAGTGGTGGATTAAGTGATTGGACAATTGCAAATGTGATTGCAACTAGATTATGTAACGACCCGACCAGTCGTTTTGAGATTTTGCACTTCGCTCGCAAGTTCTCGGGCATGACTAGCCCCGTGTGATGTATTATGACTTATGTAAATTGTTGGTTTTGGTTTTCAGGATAGTCGGAATAGATTTGGAAAAACAATTTTCAGTTTGAAGCTTAAAATTTGAAAGGTTTGACCAAGTTTTGACTTGATAGTATATGATCTCGGATTTGAATTTTTATGATTTGGTTAGATTCGGGAGGTGATTTGGGACTTAAGAGCATGATCGAAATGTGTTTTGGAGGTCCGAAATAGATTTAGGCTTGAATTGGCGAAATTGGAATTTTGATTCGTAGCAATATTGTAGTTGCACAAATAATAAAAAATTATGTTGGGCATACGCCCGTGCTATCCATCTAGTAACCGAGATACGAATTCTCTGAGCATTTCATTGTCCTTCTGCCTTACCTTGAAGAGGTCCGACTTTCTTGTCGCGACCTTAATGGCTCCGGCGTGTGCCTTTACAAAAGAAGCAAGCATATCAAACGAGTCAATAGAATTAGGCGGTAAATTATGATACCATATCATAGCACCCTTCGATAGAGTCTCCCCGAATTTTTTTAGCAAGATGGATTCGATCTCGTCGTCTTCCAAGTCATTTCTATTGATATCACACGTGTAAGAGGTGACGTGTTTGTTTGGATCAGTCGTCCCATTATATTTATAAATCTCGGGCATACGGAACTTCTTGGGGATCAGCCTCAGAGCTGCACTTGGGGAGAAAGGTTTTCGTACAATTTTTTTTGGAATCTGGTCCATTCAATGTTGGTGGAGCCCCCGGGATTTGGTCGACCCTGGAGTTATAGGTTTCCACCTTATCGTTTTCCTTGATCTTCTTTTCCCCTGTCTCGATTCGCTTTGCCAGTTCTTCGAGCATCTTTGTAATAGTAGGATTGGTCTCCGATTCCTTCTCATTCGATTTTCTCATAGTCGATTCGACCCTGTGTACGACTTCTTAGAATGGCTCGAGTTCGATCCTACTTAGCGTGTTTCTTATTTTGGGCTGAGCTATTGCTGCCTGTTGGGCTTGCCACATTTCGAAGATTACCTGCAGGCTGATCCCGTCATCTTCACCGACCAGGTTCCCCTACGAATGCTGCTTTCGGGATCGACAGCCAAATTTCCATTGATGGCTACATGCGAACTGACGTCGATTGGATCTACAATCGGAACTCCATCGAGGCCAGCAGGGGATACAACATTCCCTGGTGTAATGTTCTCTTTTTCGTCGTGGTGTCTGAGATCATTGTCAATGTGTTGAGGTGCTGACTGCGAATTTGACATTTTTTAATCCTGTAATCAAAGACACTTCAAAGAACAAGCGTAAAATAGTGTGTGTTATGAAAATTTGTACCAGACAACCACTATTATCCTTAGCCCCACGGTAGACACCAAATTGTTACTCTAAAAACGGATAACAATTGAATTTATACTGTGGTTTTAAGGACACGTGATTTTACTTGGCACAAATTAAGAGAAAATTTAAATTGATATTGAAATTAAATAAACATAAAGCAAACCAAATAAGATGTATAGCTTTGATCCTCGAGCTAGGTCACCTTCGAATCGAACAAGTATTTTATCGGAAAGTATGAACAGAATAACAGAGTATTGACAACTTAAGAAGATGGTATATTGCTTTATATAACGTGAATATGATGTTTTACAAATGATTAGACCTCTTTTATATAGTAAGGGAGTCCTACTATTGGTACAATTCTAAATATAGTAAGAAATCCCATGATTGGCTAATTAATCGGCCTCTTCTTGATACATGCAGCGATTTGTGCCGTGAACCTCGCCCGATTATGGATATTTCGTCTTTCCGTTATTTGACCCAGTAATCTTCCCTCGATCTCCATCTTATTCGGTCCCGATCACGGTCGATCTCAATCTTGTTCTGTCTCGGTTTTGGTCGGTCTCGATCTTAATCGGTCTCAGGGTCTCGGGCTTGACAACCTAACTCTGCACCGTAGTTTGATATAAATCGAAGCCGATCCTTAACTAAACATGCTCCAGCCTCGATCAGTCGCACAAATAGGGCAAGTCCGATTTTGACCGTATACAATTAGAACTATGTGTTATTGTCTAGACAACTGAGAGCTGCTACTTATTTTCAGGCCAGCTTATTGTGGACGCTAATAATTAAGGTTTTATTAATTTTGGCACTGCCTGCACGTGGTTTAACTATTCTACAAAGGTATGGTGAGTTTTATTTTACTAAGTTTTTTATATTTTCTTTCTTAATATTATTTTTTGACAAAAATATGCTGTCGGCATATGCTTTCTTTTTCCCTGGTTTCTATAGGTAATATTTTACTTTTGTTTCTACTTCTTCAAGATCATTGTTATTGTTATTTATGTCAGGATCTGTGTTTTCCTCCTTAAATTTTTGAGTTGTTTACATTTGTCCATAGTATCGAAATATAAGTTAATTGTAATCCACTAAGGAAAGAAAAGAATTAGGAGATGTAATAGGATTTACTATGAACTCGGCTCATCCTTTGGTAATATACGCTGACCCGTTGCATATATCATTGTTTGGAAAGTAGTTAAATGTGTTCCATGCTTAACTTTGATATTCACGAATGTTTTTATTACTATATTTGGGTCATTGGACAGGAAACTATCTATGGGCAGATTGTAATCTTCAAGAAAGACTTCTTAGTCCTATGGATAAAGCTCTTTGTTTTAGCCTAATGAAACTGTTTAAGGTGAGGATCCAAGGCTTATGAGTACAGAATCCGATGGTATTTTTAATTAGAACAAACTATATTTTTCTAATTATTCAACCAAATGAAATTGGTTGACTAATTGAAAAATGAGATTATTCAAGCATTCAATGTTGAGATTATGCACTGGTAGTAGATCCATTATTAAAAAAGTACTTGTGATTGTTCCAGAAGAAATTAAACAACTGATATAGTAGAGCTAGAACAATTATTTATGCAAGGTCTCCCCAATACTAGATGCATTTGCAGGAAAGATTAAAGCTAGAATTACTGCATAATAATGAGAAACCTTGTCATATCAAAACCGAAAACTGTGTAAAATTGCAGTTTCCACAGTTGTCCTTTGAACGCAAGGAGATGTAATTTTGGTTATTGTTCTAAATTACTACTACCAAGTGTCTTTGTAGTCTTCTTTTCCATTTTCTTAGGCTGATCTCTTTAGAAGTATGCAATGATTTCTTTAGAGATTGTTTTTAATGTATTAAATATTTTTGGGATCAATGTGTTATGAGTATTTAAGTATTTACATTTAGGTACTCTTGACACTTGTTTAATCTACTAAGAGTTTGCTTTGTATACAATTTGACAATGGTATTGCACTTTTTGTTTTACCTTTTTACCGGATGTAACCACGGCTGATAAAGATAACTTTACTATTTTGTGGAGTTGCATTTTATCTACTACAGACATTGCTATATATGCATCCATATGAGGGATAGCTTTGACAAATGCAGACAGTCGTCTTCCTAATGGTTAACGACTTGATGGACTGCTTTGATAAATGCAGAAACATTTGTCTTCCTATTGGTTAATTGTTTGCGAGGTAGGAAAGTTTTTTGAGCATTTTTTTCCTTTGATATAAATATCACTACAATTGTCGATTAGATGAAAGAATATTCAATTTTGATATATGCTAATTTTTATTTGATTCCTTATTGGTAAATGGGCGTACATCCAAATAATATTTTTCCTGTGAAATTAGCATACCATAAAAGGGAATAATAACACATTTTAGAATAAACTTCGGGCCCGTGCACATCCATATCTAGTACATACATATACATATACACTTTACACTTATATATAAGCAACTAAGGAGAGGAGCTTAGGGTCGTTCATGGGTATTTTGGTAAATTTAATGGTAATTTTTGCTGTGACATGTGCTACTTCTTTTGACACGCTAAAACCACAAACGTCTTCATCTAAAGTGTTCTTTCTTTGATACTTTCTCCAGTTTTATGTGCGTTGCGTCTACAGTTATTAGGTGAAGTTTTCCTTCTTTTTTCCCTTTGTTTATCCGATATTTCCTGATTATCAGTGTTATTTATATTTAAGATCGTCTTATTATCATGTTTTGAATCTTCCATGGAAGATTTAGCTTGTTTTTGTGCAAGTCCCCTCAAGATTTCTTATCAGTGTGAGGCCTTAAAGCATGCTCATGAGTCGCTTAAGTACTTTAACAAGAGATTATGGACTAGAACCAACTTAGATGATTATGATATTAAATGTAGGAGGTGTATTGGAAGTGGTTTAGAGTCTAAGGAGAGTCCTAGAACTAAGCCAAGTTGGGAACTATGCAATGGGCTAAAGTTTTCAAATGAATTCGCACAAGATCCGACTTCAAATGAGTACAACACCAAAACTATAAGGATTTACGTGGTGATATACCTATCAAGATCTTTGAGTCTAGTTTCTAATGCATCAAATTGTTTGCTATTTAGATATTTCTACATAAAGTTAGGCCATTTTACTGGACATTGTCCCATCTACATGCCCAACTACGCGCTGAGGTTGTCTGGTGCGCTATAACACACAGAAGAAGGGTTTTCTGCGTTGTATATGCGCCCAGCTGTGCGCTCACTTGCCCAAGTGCGCAGCAGCGCTAGGAATCCTATAAATACCCCCAAGGTCGGGGAGAGAGAGTGGCTAACTTATTTCTTTGACCTAGGGCCTACTCTAACAAAGGAAATCCATCATATACATCCATCCTATGAACCAAGGTAAAATTTTTGGAGTATTTTGAGTTAATTACTACTTCTAATGTAACGACCAGGCCGGTCTTTTTGAATATTTTAGACATGTTTCCTCTATTTGATGCCTTGCATATATGTATTTATGGGTATGTGACTTGTCAGGGTGGTTGATTTGGGTTCGAGGTTGTTTTGGATCGAATTGGGACACTTAGTCCCTTGGTTGAAGACTTAAGTTAAAATAGTTAATTGGCATTTGACTTTGGTGTAAACAACCCCGGAATGATAATTTGATGTTTTGAATAGGTTCGTATGGTGATTTTTGACTTAGGCATATGTATGCATTGGATTTGGAGGTTTCTAGGTTGTTCTTGCTTGAATTGGCGAAAGTTAGAAGGTTTGAAAGGTTCATAGGTTTTACCGGGAGTTGACTTTGTTTATATCAGGTTTGGATTGTAATTCTGAGAGTTGGAATATGTCTGTTGTGTCATTTGGGACTTGTGTGCAAACTTTGAGGTCATTCCGAGTAGATTTGATATGGTTCGGCATAAGGTTTGGAAGTTGAAAGTTCGTTAGCTCGTTAGGCTTGAATTGAGATGTGATTCATAATTTTGTTATTGTTATTTGATTTGAGGCCTCAACTAGGTCCATGTTATGTTTTAGGATTGGTTGAGGGTACTTGGACAAGGTCTCGGGGGCCTCAGGTGAGTTTCAGATGAGCTTCAGATTGTTTGTGGTTGTTTGGGATGGTCAGTTCTAGTGCTTTCGCACCTGCGACTTATGGACCGCAGGTGCGTGCCCGTAGAGGCGGACATGAATCCGCATATGCGATGCTATGTGGAGTCTGAATAGGAGCGCAAATGAGAAGTTATTTCCACATCTATGAGTCTGCAGATGCGGACAAGAGGGTGTAGAAGCGAACTTTGGCTGAAGCTAGTTGTTTCGCATCTGCGAGGTGATTTTTGCAGATGTGGCTCCGCAGATGCGAGTGTGTGACCCCATGTGCACGTGGTCGGGTAATTAGTGGGACTTCCATATGCGAGCTTTTGACTGCAAATGCGGTAATTTGGATCGCAAATGTGNGGAGTTGGTTAGCTGTCTGTAGGCAACTTAGTCGTGGGTTGTATCAAGCATTTGAAGGACAAAACCCACCAACATTTTGAAATGGACCTTTTTTTTTTTTTTTTTTTTTTTTTTTTTTGCATTATTTGGAGTTGTGGAGCTTGGTTGGAGGCGACTTTTGGGAGACTTTTCTTTACAATTGAAGAGGTAAGTGAAGTTTACTTAATTTTGATGTTAGATATTGATTACCAATGGATTGTTATACCTAATTTATATGAATTAAAGGTGAAATTTGGGATTTTTGACTATGATTTTGGAGAGTGAAAATTGATGATTTGAGGGTCGATTTGAGGTTGGATTTGGGTGAAACACATATATTTAGACTCGTATCGGAATGGGTATTCGGGATTTGTGTTGGTCGAGTTTTTGAGTGCGTGTCTGGGGGTGACTTTTTAGGTTCACATTGCATAATGTATTCAAGATCATAACTTTAATGTTTGGGCTTGCTTCCTAAGGCTTTTATTGATGATATTAAGTTGTTTTAGCTAGATTCGAGTCGCTCAGAGCCAATTTGTGTGAGAAGAGCTTTTTAGAGTATTGATTCCCGCATTTTAAGGTAAGTAACATATCTGAACTTGGTATTGAGGGTAATTATCCCTGAGAACTATGATATTTGAGATGTGTTGGGGGTGACACACGTGTTAGGTGACGGGCGTGTGTGCGTGCACCATGGTATTCATGATCCGGTGGGACTTTAGACTATTACGAGACTTGTGTTACAATCATGCCTCATTATATCCGTATAGCGCAATGGACGCGTGGTGGGACCATAACCCACAAGTTCCATGATCGAAACCTGGCCCTGATACCAAGTTTGTCACGCCCCAAACCTGAAAAGGCGTGGCCGGCACCCGATGCCATACTCAGCCCGTGCGTACCACTCTGTACCTAGTGAACTCCAGCATAGGGAATTCAGTCTCGCATATACGACATCATAATCCTTGAGAAATATTCAGATATGAGTTGAGGTAGTTATAGTTGCCATAAAAGTGTTACGGAAATAAAAGAGAGTGCCACGGGGGAGACAAACAAAAAGAATTGAGTTCAGAAGTAACTCTACAAGAACAAGGGAACGAAGGTATGTAACTATGGATATCTATAGGTGAGTAAGAACATCAAAAATTCCGTCGGGTATATGATGTGATAAGCTCACAACTTTACAAGAGTCAGAGAGTCTTCCCTAAGTGCTACACCGAAAGACTAGCTGAGGAAATAAGGAAGAAGGTTTCAACATAAGCATAGTGACCAAAAGAAGAAATGATCTTGGAACAACAATCTCACTACAAAATATTTCCCACAAACCCTAGTTGATTTTCTGTCCTTTTCAAGTGCTAGTTGGAGGTAAAATCTAGAGTTTGAAGAACCAAGATAGGATCTGAGTTATTCAACAAATAAGGTAAGTTTACTGCTCTTTTTCATCCAATTTTTATGCTGGAGATGTATGTAAAGTCGTTCTATAATTGTAAGAACTTACGGGACGGTGATTAAATGCCGTGGGTTCGAATTATTTACTTGTAGGGGCTGTTTTGTGGACTGCTTGTGTTGCTATTAGATTGCATGTTTTATTACTGTTTTATGGGGTTTTGGAGGATGAAAGGTGTGGAGAAACATCACATAAATACAGGGTGGTGGGCTGGTGGTTCATCATAATATTTTCGGGCTGTTTGACACTACTACGGTTGGCGTTTTGTGTATGAAGAGATTGGAGTGTGTTGGGCTGTTTTGTAGTATTTTGTGGTGTATATATGGTTGGAAAATAATGTATATATGTTGATATTGTTGTGTTCTTATGTTGTTGTTGTTAGCTTGAAGTTGGAGGAAGTAAGGATTATAGGGGATATGTTGCCCGTTTTAATATAAAATAAGTTTGTCATTCGTTGTGCGATATTTGTACCTTTTGTAACCTAATGATAGTGTTATTATCATTGTTGTAAATTGTGGTGCGAAGAGGCAAGGTCACCTTAGTGAATGGAAAGATTGTGATAAGGTATGTTAAGGCTAAACCATTCCTTCATTTTGGCATGATCTCGTAACATGTGTTTAATAACGAGACATAAAGAGAAGTTCATACTCCCGAATTTATGTACATTATCTTAGTCTCATAAGTTATAGTATTCTCCCTTATCAGGACTTCAAATTCAGTTTAATTTTGTCTTCTTTCAGCCAAGAGAGCAGAGAATCTATATATATATATATATATATATATATATATATATATACATACATACATACAGTATTACAGTATTTTCACCACCATCGAGCTATAATCGATGGGCAGGCCCCTATTGGGCAACCTCTGATCAGATGGTAAGTTATATACCAAGTCTAATGTGGCCGAGCGCCTATGAGCAAGCCTAGAATGGCCGAGATACAAAGCCAAGTATGGCCGAGCGCCTACGAGCGAGCCTACTACGGCATAGCAGTTACAGATACCGAGCATTATAGGGCCAGACATCTATTTTACTTACTATATTGAGAGAGTTGAGTCAGTATCAACATGTAAGCATATCTTTAGATTATTTTTG